CTCATGCGGGTTTGTCTCTTCTGCACTTGAATTCGCGAGCCCTTCACTTCGACAGTGCTGTGTGGCGGAGGGGGGGGTTTCTGTCTAAACTCTTCCATTCGAGTTTTCGACGACAACTTTCGAAAAAATGCACTTTCGACAGCTGGTGTGGTGAGCCCCTTATTGAACCGGTAGGCCGTCGAACGCATACTTCACTGTTTTCCTTGCAGTTTCGAACTTGTCTTCGCCCAAGCTTGGACTGGACTGTTAATCCTGCGAATTCGAAACTGTGCAGCGGTCACCCACGGAGTTGTCTCAAAAAGAAAAAAGCAGAAAAAAGAAGAAAGAAGAAAAAAGAAAAAAGAAGAAAGAAGAAGAAAAAAAGAAGAAAAAAGGAAGAAAAAGGAAAGAAACACTGCTTCAACCCCATCCCGTAAAACATTCCACCCATCCATCCCACATCCCACCATACTTCTGCGACTCTGCGAGAAGTGAGTCAACGCAGAGTCAAAGTATAGGTCGGGGAATCCTCTCATTCTGAGGTCAACTTTCAGTGTGAGTAGAAAGGCAGCCTTCACGCCCCTCATTGTCGTGTACCTGTTTGCACGATACAAGGAGTAGATCACGGCCATTTTTTGCTGCTTACTAGAGTATGTGCAGTAGTCCTGTAGATTCTGAAAGATGAGTTTACGACGTCCAACCGCACCCTGATTTTTGTGTGTAGCAGCACAGACAATATGGCCATTCTCGTACATTAATGACACAGCCCAGAAAATCCCAGCTCCTTCCATTGTCAGTCCTTTCCAGAGTTAGGTTCTCATGGTAGCATTTCTCAAAGAGCTGGAGCACCCTTTCAGCTTCCTCCTTCGATGCCATGTCCTGTTTTTCGTATCGTACAAAAATGGAAACATCATCCATAATCCGGCACCCGTAAGTGAGCCTTCCCATAGACCCGAGGGAGCTAATAAAGCGATATTCATGGTAGGCACAAAGTAGACAGGCAAGGGCTGGGCTAGATGCCTTCCCCATCAGGATACCCATCCGTTGCCGCAGAAGCACACCACAGGCAGAAACATATGTACATCCAAGCTCAAGAGTGACAAACTTTATAATTTCTTCAAACTTGACTGCTGCCCATCCTTCCTCAGTCCTTCCTCTCATGATCTTTGCCTCCTTCCCTCTCTTTTTCAATAGGACTCCCTTGGCCTCATGCGAAATCCAGAAGTCGGCAACCTGTGACGCGCAAACCTCACGCCTTGTGCTGTCTTCCGTTCGGAGTGTTAGCTCTGCGGAAAAGAGGCCCAGAAAAACAGCAAGATCGGGTGTGCCAAGGATTTTTGGAAATTGAGTGTGGGGACACAGACGGAACTGAAATCCCCCGTACTGGTTCGATGGAGCAAGTCGATCGTTTCGCGCATCGCGGAATGCGCGTGCGGATATGGCGCGAAAACAGAAAGATCCAAATTCAATCCAAAAAGTATTGTCGGGCTATCCACCGAGCTACAGCCCGTCGTTTAGAACGGAAAGGCTCTGGCACGCTTCGCGTGTCTCGTTTTCGTACCAGATCCCGTCTTCATTCGCTGGTCAGTTCCGAATCCTACGTGGATGGTCTCAGCCGAGTGGCTCTTTCCTTAC